ATTCCTTTACTCCCTACTAAGAACCCGTACGTACTCGGTTCCGTGCATGCCAGAATAGCCTGCAACTCTTTGCCCGCCAAGGATCTCCAAAACTTGTACCCAAGCTTCCTGGGTTGCTGTGAGGGAACTTAAGGGCACAGGGCTAAGGGTTTAGGAGTTAGGGCTTAGGATTGCTGCTAAGGGACTTAAATTAAGCTACCACAATATGGGTATTTAGTCAAGAGTAAGGTTTTCCTTCTTATGGTAACTTAGCTTAGGTCCCTAAACCGTACCCAAGCTTCAGACTTCTTCCCCGAGGATGCGAAAGCACACTGGCCGTACTTGGTGGGAAAGAAATCATCGATGGTCACATCCTTCATTGATACTCTCCGGCCGGAAGTCTCTCAAATTGGCGTGACTGTTGAGACCCAAACCCAGGGGTACACGGCGACCAAGCGCGGGATTCAAGAGGTGCAGGGATGCCGCTAGAAACCCCAAACAAAGGACTCAACCCCCAGCGCCACAAGATCCCTCCTGGAAGACGCCGTTCTTGTAGAAACGTACCACATAGAGACCCTTCTCAGCATCGTAGTATGTGAACCTGACAGCAAGCAGGTTGTTCACGTGAAAGCAGCTCACAAACAGCTGAGCTCACTATCCAGAAACTGAGGCTGGCGACAGCTTGTCTACCAGTTTGCCATGGGCTGATAAGCAAGCAATCGCAGAGAGGAACCAGCAATCACCGAGCTCTCCTGCGACTTTGGCATAGCGTGAAGGCCCAAGATCAGCCATAGTGTTGGTCTTGGCAACTTCTAAGGTACTACTTCGAGGGACCCTGGAGTCTGGTAAAACGTTATATCCCCATCAATAAGCCCATTATAACCCTATGGTAACCCTTAATAAGTAGGTATAATCCTACTACCACCCTTTGTAAGTAAGTTACTTAACCCATTTCAAATTCAAAATCCCTGGGTTCCACAAGGCAATGTACACCCCTGATTAATGAACCCCCTCTCCACAATAGGGATTATTACAGGGATCCTAATATTAAGGCCCTTACAAGGAGGGGGGGTTTAATTATGGGTCTACATGACCGTCCTTGGTGAATGTCGTTGGGGTTGAAGCCGTCCAGAAACAGCTCAACCTCCAGGACTGTCATATGGGCTATAGACTAAATTCCCTAAAGGGGTTATATAGGGAATCATATGCCATTAGGGTTTAGGGTTTGGAGTTTAGGGTTTAGGGTCTAGTTCTAAACCTGCAGGATTGTCACATGACCTATAGTCTAAACTCCCTGAAGGGGATCAAAGAAGGGGATCACATAGGATGAACTCCTTAAAAGGGGTTATGTAGGGGAGTATGTAGGGTTTTGGGTTAGCGTTGTGTAGGGGATTCTATAGGGGAGTATCGTAGGGGTTATGCAGTGGGATACTAGGAGTTTAGACCATAGCTCACATGCATCCGATTAGTCCCTCGAAGCCCGCTGCACGGTTACCGGAATCTACAGAAAGTAAATGCTTGAGCTTGCTGGGGGTTAGTAGGCAATACACGAATACTTACATAGAGGTTATATTCCCGACTAACCACCAGTAAGAAATGCTGAAGGGTACCTTGCAGAATTCTAAGAACTCACCAAAATTCCAAACTCGAAACGTGTCGCAAAAGCTTTCCTGCAGCTTGGCCACATTCCCATCACGAACGAGCTTGCGTAGTCGTTCAATACTGGCAGGAACAGTCAGTCTTGCATGGCACACTGGTGACTGTCTGCAGGCTGCACGCGACTCAGCGACAGACCTGCAAACCTACAAATACTGTTGAGCTGCCTGTCTTCCCCACGCTTGCACACAGGTCTTGCGAACATGCAGCTGGGAAGCGAAGCACTCTAACAACCAAACCCCCCGAAGGCTGGAACCTCATAAAATACTATAATATACCATAATATACAATAATATACCATAATGTACTATAGTATACTATTATATAACCCCCCCGAAGGCTGGCATGATGGCGGTCCTGTAGCTGGTTGCCTTCGCACCCATGGCCTGAGCTCTACAGCAGCGCGATCGGCAGGCACTTTCATCAACACAGGGGGATGGTTCGGGCCCCTACCTGAGGTGTCATGCATCTTGCCTTTTTCTGGGTTGAGATCCTGACCTCCCCTCTGCGCTGATCCTACTGCCAGCTATCGCAGGCATGACGCACTTGGGTAGTCCTCCCTCAGGTTGAGCAACTCTGCCTGGGAGCCGGGCCGCAGGGGTGAACACGTTATCAGTGAACTCACCATTCCTCTCTGCCACGGACCTGGCAATGGCTGCGCTAGTTGTGAGCTCAGCACTCTCCGTGGAGAATCATGGTGGCCTGAACTTTGAAGAGCACCCTATTCCCAATGTGATCCTACTTGGCCTCCATCTGGTTGGTCTATACTATGAATCTCAAAGAAAACATCAACCCCCTCCCCCAATATTAGCCCCCTGTCAGACCTAAAAAATCCCAGTACAGTGTACCAGAGTGAGTATATCTAATCTCAGGCGGAGCTGGTGACCTATCATCCCAACCCTTTAAAACTTAAACCCTAAATGACCCTAAACTCTAAACCTTAAACCCTCATAAACCCTAAACCCTCAACCTTAAACCCTAAAAAACACTACGCCCGAACCATTATGGGAAGGTGCTTGCAAAAACTGGGCCAAGGTACTTCAACAGTGTGAGGTTTGCCTCCACGATCTTGGGCTCGCCTGCCCTGGATACATAGGACATAGGGATAATATAGGCTTCATTGATTAGAGTTTAAGGTTTAGGGTTTGGGGTCGTTATATAGGGGCAAAGTGAAAGGAATACTGAAACTAGTTTTTAAGGGGTAAGGTTTGGGGTTTAGGGTCGAAGGCTTTAGTTTGGGTACTGCCACCATCCAGTATCAGTCTGTAATTGAGGTACTATAACTGGCCTTTAGAAATTATGATATGCCCTAAACCCTAAACCGCGTTCCAACTGTTACTGAGCTACCGAAGGTTTGGGTGCAAAGCCTTGGGAGCTAGAGTTTGCGCTATCCGACACGTCTTCTCGTACCGCAGCAGGCGCGGCAAAGCTGCAATGGGGCTTTCTCAACACTGTTGCATTTTTCGAAGGGCCCTGCATCAAGGCTTCCGACATGTTGGGCAGATATTAGCGGGGAACCCTACTTGTGAAACATACCCCTACTTTATCATAATAGGGTAGATTTCTGGCTTATTGGAGTTGATTAGCTGAAGCTTAAACAGCAACCCCGAGCCTGATGAACTTTAGCCATGCCAAAGTTATAGCACCAATCCTGGGATCCCGTATTCAGAGGTAGGGTTTAGGGGTCCGAAATGTTGGCCCTTTTAGCCCCTCCATGCTGAATTCCCCGACCACAACCCCCTCCTATCTTCCCCAAGGCTTCCCCTTAAACAGGTCTATGGGGGAACCTGGTGGGTATTACAGGGAAAGACTACCCTTCCCACCCTAAACCCCAAACCCCTGATCTGAGCCTCTTGAGTCGGTCTTCCTCTTCTTTCCTTTTCCGCTCCTATGCAGCTAGCAGTTAATAAGAGGGTTTAGTTTAGGGTTTAGGGTTTAAGGTGTTTTTTGTCGCGCCTTTTCTCCAATCGCAGAGTGGTTTAGGGATTAGGATTTAGGGATTAGCGTTTAGGTATTACGTTGTAGGGTTCATGGATGCACTACACCAAGAACGAAGAATCAAAGAAGGGAAAAGATATGGAAATGAAATGGAAACTGAGTGTCTATAGGGATTGGTAAGCCTTCACATTGGGACATGACGGATTTTGATAACCCCAAAAACCGAAATACGGATCCTATGACTATCCTGTGACTCTCACGGGGTCATAGGGGCCTTTTATAGACTAGCAGTTGAAGGCAGATTTCTTGACCACAATGATTTCTCCACCTCTAGGTCGAAATCCTAGTTCCAAACCGTCAACTCGCACCACTTCTCATTCCAAATATACGCCCGTCACAAAGGTCATCTTGCTACGGATCATGAGTCACTGGTGTCTTTGAATACTCTCCATATGGCGGTGAACTTGAGTTGGACCTGGGGAAGAGATGAATATGGATCGCCGCGGTAGTCCTAGCATGAGCCCCCATGCTTGTCCAAACCATAGTCATAGTCCGCAGAACGCATTCCCCCATTACCATCTGTAATCTGATGGGATTCCTGTATCCCGATATGCTCCATATAACTGCTGCGTAAAATACCCCAAAATCCTGTTCCAACTGGCCTAACCCATGCGCCGCTAGTCCCTCCCCCCTACTACTTTTCACCCTGCCCTCTAGTATTCACAGCTACCAAAAGGACAGCTGATGTACAGCGAGGCTTTTTCACACTAGGGGATGTGGATGCTGAGTAGTAGGGGGAGGCAATTGCCATCACAATTGCTGTTGCTACTGAATCCTCTTGCTATTTGCTGTTTCTGCTACTATTGGTATTCCATGTGCTAGTGCTTCAGCCTTGTAATTTGCTGTTGCCACTTTCTACTGCTGCACCTAAACCCTAAACCCTAAAACCCTAAACCCTAAACCCCTAAACCCTAAACCCTAACCCCTAAATACTATGGCCATTAGAAAAGCAAGCCGCTGAGCCTCCTCCGCTTTTCTCCGACGCTCCTTCGCCTCCTCTTGGAGCTTCCTGGGCAAAACGCCCCCGAGACCCCTAGGGTTTAGGGGTTTAGGGTTTAGGGGTTTAGGGTTTAGGGGTTTAGGGTTTAGGGGTTTAGGGTTTAGGGTCGGGCGAGGCACGGCTATCTTGTCAGGATGTTTGGTGTACGCTTTGGGGGCCCTTTTGCTGAGACATACAGAAAATCCATGAGCTCTTAGGGCAGCGTTGCTGGGTTAATGTTAAGGAACACAAGTTCAGTTCCTGAAATAAGGAATCCCCTCGTTTACCATCTGCCCAAATTATAGTTATGGTAACTTGAATTAAGTTCCTTACCAGCAGCCCTAGTTATTGTTGTGGCAGTGCTACTTTCTGATGAGGGAAGCCCTAGAGAGATCAAGCCGGGCCTTTACCTGCAAAGCAAGCGCCATCTACAAATTGGTCATGTTTGTATTGTGGCTTCCCGAAACGCGAAATTAAATGGGAACAATAATTATAGAGTGGTTTTTAGGGATTCGTGTTTCCAAACATTGGAGGTCTCTGTCATGATAATAAAGAAATGGTATATGGGAGTCTATAGTGGGGCCACAATATGTGGAAACCGGCGGATGGGAGTTCTGCAAGCATCAAGCCGGAGTCATCGAGGTCATTGCTGGCCATGACATTGTGGCCTGTCTATAGAACCCCAGTTTCCATCACCTTTTCCATCTGACTTTCAGACCCTGGGGCAATACACCTGCCTGACCACAAGCACCTTCTACCTTGGGAATCACGGCACTATAGTATAGCAAAGGCATGCAGGATTTTTGATATCAACCCTATCACTTACCTATGTACCACTTCTAACCACCCCATATTACCTGACTGCGTGCGCCGCGTGTCCTCAGTCTTTCTGCCTCCTTGCGCTTTCTCTCTGCCTCCTCTTCGGCCGACAGCGCTCCTGGAATCCAAAATGGATCCATAATATACTTCCTATAACATCCTCAAAAATACCCCTATAGTCCCCCTGAACCCTATAATACCTTGGTAATCCCCACATACACCCCTATAATCATGCCCCTAAACCCTAAATCTCAACCCCAGAATCACTCCCCCCATTCCCCCTTTAGCGCCAGTAAGTCCTTAAGGTTCAGGGTCTAGGAACTCCAACCCTAAACCCTCAACCCCAAACCTTAAACCCTCAACCCCAAACCTTAAACCCTCAACCCTAAACCCTCAACCCCAAAGCCTATATTCACTGCCCCACTCCCCATTAAGCACCCCAAAAAGGTCCTTGAATCTGAGTGATCTTGTCCCTGGCCTGTTGGATAAGATCACCTCACTTCCCAAACACAACAAGAGCGGGCACCCCACAGTTAGGATTAGGGTCGGTTTTGGGGAGCCCTTCAAGCGTGCTTTTTGTGGATGTATGGGGATTATCTAAGGGATGGGTGGTAATGAAAACAGACAAACATGTTTGAGCCTCCCCCTTTCAGGACTGGACTTGTTTCAACTGCGAAGCGACTGTGCTTCCCAAAAGCTGAGGCGAGTAACTTGTGAGGCCCGCGGCCGTCGCGTGCTCGACAGCATTTTGCAGCTCTTGGACGGCAGCTGTTCCACTGGCACCCTTAGCTACAGCACCGTTCAGCGAGCTCCAACTCATCCAACGGCTAGCTCATGCCCTTCGCTTATAGGTCTGAGTCACGCTGGCCAGCACCTGCTGCAGAAGCTCCTCCGCGCTGTGTAGCTCCTGATAAGCTTTCCGAGCTACATTTTGGTCTAGGGTTTACTGTTCCCCCCCCACTTGCCCTTGCCCAAGTCTGACATCTCTTTGAGCACTCAGAGGCAGACACGTACAAGCATGGTTCCATTGCCACGGGCTGACAAGCTATCAGCATGCCCATCAACGAAGGCTCGTCAAATATGGTGGTTTCCCAAAATTAGGGGAACCATCTTGGGGGTCCCAATAATAAGGACTAGAGTATTTGGGGTCTATATTGGGATCCCCCTATTTTGGGAAACTACCATATAACCCTGATATGATCCCGGTGTCTATTTCATGTTCCATTGTTGGGGGATAATTCCCTATTGCAATATTCTCCTACTGTAGAACCTTATATACTATAGCAGGCATATGGGAGTTGCTGCACTGCAGGCAGGCACGATCCGCTCCTGCACTCGCTGCGTCGCATCGGCCACCAGGTTATCGCCCTCGGGCACGCCAGCACCCAGCGCCGTGTTGATGGCACCCTGGAAGGCTCAGGACTGCAAGGGTATCATTACTACTATATTATGAGTATATTACTATATTGTTCTTATACTACATTATTATCATCTATACTGTTATTACTGTTAGTATACTGCCAGTATATTATCTCAAAAAAATGTGCACGACATGCCCCGACTAGATCACGTTAAAACATGCTTGCCTGAAGTTTGCTGATTTCGCCGCACTGGTCAGCAAGGAGCTTCTCCACCGCCTGCAGCAAGGTCAAGATTTAAGCCTGCTACTCCTTTCGTCCCCCTTAAGTAGATAGAATATGGCTTTGGGTATATCATAATAAGATCCCCATATACCCCATATTCTATCTACTTAAGGGAGACTATAATCCCTGACTGTACAGATGCTACTATGGCAGTTTCCCAAAATAGGGGGACCCCAATATACTATACTCCTTACTATGGGGACCCCCCAAAATGGGACCCCTAATTGATTTTGGGACACCCCCCTATCTCCCCTAACGCCAGAAGTGGGAGAGCAATTCACCCAGGATGCTTTGATGATCTCCCGCGTGCCTCCCGAGCCTCTGTTCGGCGGCGGCGCTGCTCCTCGAGGCGCTTGCGAGCGGCTTCCTCCTGGGGTTTCGCAAAATGTGGGATCCTGGAAATCTTGGGATGAGAGGGACCGTATGCATGCTACAGAGGCCCCGCTTAAGGATTACATACTAAAGATTCTGGCTACTGGCAACCTATCCGACCACGAATCTTATCGACTAACCTTGGACCCTGCGATTCTCGTGGCTTTTTTGATGCGGATACTCTTGACGCCCCTGATTTGGTGCTGGCCTCTTCCTTACGCCGATCTTCTTCCAGGCGCTTCTTCTCCTCCTCCCAGACGGTAGGGTCAGTAGCGAGATATAGCATATTCCTCGAAGCTCCCTCATAAACTCGCAATACATACCTCTATTATTCCACCCCAACCTAACGTTCGTCCGTAGCTCACATAATAACCCCTAAACCCTAAGCTCTAAACTCCAAACCCTAAACCCTAAACCCTTAATAGTAGTTTCCATTTGCTTTTCCATTATCCCAATATAAACCCTAAATAGCCCCTATATTAATCCAAACTTAATCTTGAAGCCCGACCAGCCTCTGCATGATTCCAGGCCTTGCACAGGCACTTCCCAGACCCCCCGCAAAAGGATGCAAAAAATGGAACCCCTTAAAGGGGTTTATAGGGGCTATATAGGGGTATATAGGGTTTAGGGTTTAGGGTTTAAGACCAAAAAATGGAACCCCCTAATAATCTTCTAGTTTCCCCAATGTAGTAATGGGTTCATATTGGGGTGGGTTTCCTTGTTTGGATCCTTTAGGGGGTCTGGGTTAGCATGCTTTGAGACGAGATATGGTAGTTTCTATCTCCTTACTTTAGGGACCTCTAAAAAAGGAGCCCTGCTCTATGAAAACACCCACATCAAGCTAATGCTGTGAGAGGGTGCTTGGGTTTGGCTGCCAGCTTTGAATTTATAGTCCCCCTTAAGTAGATAGAGTATGGGATATATGGGCATCTTATTATAACATACCAAATTCCATATTCTATCTACTCAAGGGGGACTATAGAGCCACCACTCACAACACCCCAAGAGTGAAAGGCTTTGCTGTGAGGATACCGGGGCGAGGTGGGAGCCTTCATAACTCTTTAGGGTGAGCCAAGACCTGATAGTCAAGACTATGATCCCTTCATGTCTAGGGTTTAGGGTACCCCGAATACTGGGTTGCTGTTAAGTTAAGGAAATGAGCCGAAGATACCAAAATACAAAGGGCCCCATACTTTTGACCACCTACCCCATCCTCTCATGGGAGCAACCCGGCAGCCGCCTTCCATGCTGCTTCGATTTCTTTGCGGTCCTCTTCTGGCAACCTTGCCACAAACAAGCAAACCGACAATCCCTAAAGCTGATAGGCCCTCAATCCTAAACCCTATCTCAACAAAACCAGACCCCCTTTTTGCTAGGAGCAGAGGATCCAAAAACTGGAACCCCCTAATGATCCCCTAGTTTCCCCAATGTAGTAGTGGGTTCATATTGGGGGGGTTCCATTTTGTGGATCCTTTAGGGGGTCTGGGTAGGGGTACCCCAAGGACCTCAACGGATTTTGTAGGCCTTTATTGGACAAACTCCAACATTTGCATCTGCTTTTGGCGAGTTGCTGCTTGAAGTCGTCCATTGTCAAACCTTTGGCTTCAGCGCCTCAAGGCCCAAAATGCTTGCATGGTCAAAGTGCTTGGATTGGAGCGTCTGGGCGACGCAGAACCGCTCTTTCAATAAGTACCCCAGCTACCCTGCTAAGTCCCCTGACCCTAGACCCTAAACACTAAAGTAGAATGGCAGTTAACATGTTCCTTTCCACATACTCAGTCCCCCATACGACCCTCCAACCAGCCTGTGCTCTGAAGGAAAGCGCGGAACTCAGATTCCTTCGCCCACATTTGCTGCATCTGTGCCGAGAGGAGGCATAGCCTTAGACAGGAGCAAGGTTCAAGGAATGGAACCTGCCAAGAACAGCCTAAAAGGGGTTGTAGCAGGTGCTCCTCTTCTGCTGCGGCTTATGCTGCTGCTGCAGACCCTCGTTGGTCTACTTCTACTTCCACTCCCACTCCAGCTCCTCCTCCTCCTCCTCCTCTGCTGCTCCTCCTCCTTCTCCTCCTCCTCTTGCTGCTGCTGCTGCTGCACTACATGTACTACGAGCACGGCTACATCGTTTCTGCCTCCTCCTCCTCTCGTAGTGATTTCCCAACGATTAAGAGATGCGGGCTGAGGCAGCTCAGCCACTGCAGCCGTGCGTTAAAACGCTGCTGGTTGCAAACAGCCGAAAGCCACTTCCTGACCACACCACTTGCGATTGTCGTGAACGATGAAGTTATGAGGATACATGAGGATGATACCGGGCTAAAAGCCGATGACATGGGGTCTACAGGTAAGCAGGACTCCTCACCAGCATGTGCAAAAGATCCGCTTCACTCTGTCCTCGCACTTGTCAGAAGCTTCTCGTGCTCTTCTCGCGGTTGCTCAGGGGAGCTATTGGCCACACAGCCTGGTCCTCGTCAAAGGCTCAAAATCTTTTCGTTTGCAGAATTGTTGGGATGCAAACGCCACATGGTGCCGAAACCCACGCTTTAGACGACCCAGCGCTGTCCTTTTCGCAGCAGGCCAACCATAGCATTCAGCATCTGCCAGAAAGCAATAGGCGGGAAGGTGTGGAAACGCCCTGCACAAGCGATCTTCACCTGCAGCTGTGCACGATCATGCTGCATGCAATCTTGCTGTCCCACGGGGACTTATGTGGTACGGCGACGTTACCGTAACAGTTGCCCCTGGGAAACACCCAGTCTTAGAAGCTTCCTTTACCAGCCTGCATCATAATTGTGACGAGGCAGCTTTCCCTTGTAGCTTTCTGTTGTGCAAGCTGGCCTGCCTGCGAGTGGAATTCCTCCATACCACTCTTGCAGCCTGCGGAGAAATCCTGAACTGCCTGTACGAGCTTCTGTTGAGTGTCCTGGGCGAGGAGGCTTTGCGTGTTAGACTTTCTGGGAGGCTCAGCAGATTTCTTCGGTTTCGGCTTCTCTGCCCACGACGCTGCGTCAGTAAGCACACATCCCAAGATCTAACATCCAGCAACAAATGACTGGCTCGTCCTTGTCAGTGTCGGTGCTGGCGGCATCTACTACCTTGGCGCCGCCCAGACCTGTCGCAGGCAGATGCTAAGCAAAGAGTTGCTGATGCAAAATACAATAATGTGAATTGGGCCTGTGGTCTCGCTTGAGGCTTGAGGTATGTCGCGCTAGCGCTGCCACGTATGCGCATGGCCTTTCTAGCCTACTGCATATCTGCCCCAAAAGCAAAAGTCAAAGATCGTCAACAACTTACATCTCTGGGGGAGCTGCACATGTTTGAGGCCTCCAGGCTGTCCAAACCTTAAACTGGAATCTCAACCTCAGCCCATACTCTAGACGTTGACCCAAGCACCTCCATCCAGTGCTTCTTTAGCTGCCGCCAGAAGCTGCGCTAAAGGCAACCTAAGTTGTGTGATTTTTTTGACTACAGAAGATCATGAAGGCCACTTGGAAAAAAACAAGACCACAAGCATCCAAGTCCGTCCTAAGCAGAATCTAAACTAGAATTCAAAGTCCAGTGGGAAGGCAGACCAGAACCTTCTTGCGAGAGCAAGCATGGCAGCATGAATTCCAAATAGGTGTCAAGCAAATCTTTCCAAGCATAGACCAACTGCCAAGTTTACAATACCAAATCCGACCATACAAGGCTCTGTCGTCCTAAGGTCCGAATTTTTATGCACTTAGATGTGTAGGGATGCTCAGCGGGATGCTGTTCCTCCTGGTCCGAAATCCCGAGCTGGCCCTAAACACCCAAAACTTCAGGGTTGTGGTTTTAGGGTTTACGGTTGCAGGCTTTCCTTAAGCTAAACCAAGAGGCTGAGCCAAGACCATGGCGCGGCGTTGGCCACCTTCTGCCACAAGGTGGGCCCACCTGAGTAATGCTTTTTGGCAATTGAACCAAGTAGGATTTCGTCCTTCTAAGGTACTAAACCGCTCAAAAAAAATCGGAGCATATGATGTTCCTCTGTCTTTGGGAACTCTAGTGTACCCTACTCACCTGGGTTTAGGGCCTAGGGCAAGTGTTCCACAAGCCTGTTCCAAGCCACGGCATATCCGGGGCTAGGGGTGAGACCTGCAAAGAAGAAGAAGAAGAAGACTTTCTTCAGAGAGCTCATCCCAAAAACAAAACGAGCAATATCAACACCAATACAAATACCAATACCAATACTAATACTAAGACTACGAATATCAATACGAATACTAGAGACAATAGTGCCTTTGCGTGGCAGCTTCCGGGGATCGTGGGAGCTATCGAACGCTTCGAAGGCCCTGCCCTTCATGCCGAGTCTCAGAATGAGGATTGCCATAATGGCCAAGACTCCCACCACCATACCTTGTCAGACTGGGTTGCTGTTAAGGAACTTAAATGGTAGTTTCCCAAAATAAGGGGACCCAATATAGACCCCAAAATACTATAATCCTTATTATTGAGATCCCTAAAGAGGTACCCCTAATTTTGGGAACCCTCAAATTAAGTTACCATAAGATGGGTACGTAGTAGACTTAACAGCAACCCAGCAGAGTTGGGAATCTGTCTTGCTGCCTTCTACACAGGAAAGCGCATTTTCTGTCGGTCCCGTCACCCCAAATTTTGGTGAGTCTGCCAAGTGACCCAGAGCAGGCATGTCATTCAGCACCACAGCCGCCACCAGGCCCCAGAGTGCAAGTACACACAGAGCCTCCCGCGCTCTCAGAACCCACAACTCTCAACAGTTCACCTGGTCTGCGAGCTGGTGTGCGCAGCCTAAGCAGTGCAGTTCACAACACCGTCAGTGAACGAGCCCTTAGGATATGCCTGATAAACCTTGCTCCCAACATGTGCCCCCGGCTAAGCACACTTCACGCTTATGTCATTTCGTGCGCAGTGGGCCAGCCTCCATGGTTGCAGCTATATCAAAGTGGGCGCGAGCCTCACATGCACAGCGGCATGAGGCCGTGGGACTCGGTAGCTATACGATGAAACGTAGTTTAGGGTTTACGGCGTTGTTCATTCTGGCAATTAAAAGACGCCATGTGACTTGGCAGTCTCCATAGATAGGGGGACCCCAATGGACACCCCCAAACACTATAATCCTAATTATGGGGACCCTGTACACCCTATATATGTATATACATATATATATATATGTCCCATACATCCCCCATAACTCCCTCGTGGGCGTGTCCCTATACCCAGCCATGGGATCCAGCTCCACTTCCCAGCAATCTGCTTTCGAGTGGCCAGCTCCCCGCCACGGAACCGGAACACGGGGAACACGAAGTTGGAGGACCTCAGCACAGGGTAATTTAGAATACTTTCAATTCCCAATTTAAGTCGATTTTGGTACTATTCCCTATAAATCTCCATTTAGGGTGAGGTCGGGTGAGGTCGCTTTAAATTGCCCAAGGTCAGCATCAGCACTACTTGTATGATTTATTATCTTCTTGGGTAGCATTTATTCTCAGTATGCTGTTGCTAGCACTGCTACCTTTACCATTACCATTACCACCACTCACTACTCGTACTGCCACTTTTGCCATATCTGACTATGACTCTTAGGATTGCGTTTGTTACTGCCGCCACTATGACTACTGCCACTTTTACGAATTGGAGGACCTTATTTGGGGGCATCTCATAGGGGGCGCATGAAATGCAAAAGAAATGGCAACCACTGTATTCAATTAATTCTTTAGGTTCCTTACTTCTGATTCCTACTACTGGTCTTAGGGTGCCATCTCCATGCATCTTATCCTCGTCCTGATTCCTATTTTGAACGGTGGAAGCCTTGACCTGCTCTTGCACGTCTACAAACTTGAAGTTAAAAACAATCCTAGACTCTTAGATGCACATTCTTGCTTTCATGAGCGCATTGAGATGTTCCAAGACTTAGGGCTTAGGGCCGAACTCAACACGAAGCTTCTCCAGAGCTGTTCGGCCCTGAGCATCTGAGACCTGTCAAAGCGCAGACCAGCGCAAGAGGCAAGCAAACAGTGCTGGATCTTGGGGCCTCCGATGCAGCAGCACCAGCCAAAAGCAGCGTCAGCCCGATGCAAACCTTAGCCATCATCGTGCCCCAAACCATTCTCATACTCATACTCTGGCAGCCTGTTTGCAACCCTAAACCCTAAACCCTAAACCCTAAACCCTACCAGAAGGCCGTGGTGAAGCCGCCGAAGATGCTCTGGAAGTAGAAGGTGATACCAACTGCAGAGCCCAGGACACAGCAGGCCACTGAGATGGCGCTGGCAAGCTTTACCTCAGTCGCTCAGCTTCTGCCATTGCAAAGCTACCAAGGTGCTGTTGGTAGACGAAATCTTGCAGCACCACCCTACATCCCGTAAATGCCAGGATGTACAGTGTTACGGGGGCTCCAGGGCGTGCGGGACTTCTTCCACCAACAGTGCTCTCCGCCCTGAACCCTAAACCCTGTCACGTAAACTCTGACGCCTTTAAACCTCAAACCTAAACCCCAAAGCCCCAACACCTAGACCCCCAAACCGAAACTTAAAGCCCTCAAACCTTAATCCTGAACCCTAAACCCTAGAAAAATCCCTGTATCCTCCACTCCCCCTGAACCCTAAACCCTAGAATAATCTCTATATCCCCCCACTCCCCTTGAACCCTAAACCCTAGGATAATCCCTATCCCCCACTCCCCCTGAACCCTAAACCCTAGAATAATCCTTATATCCCCCCACTCCCCTCAACCACAAGCGGTCGCCTTGTGGCTGACAAAGCGGTTGTCGCGCAGCCACTTCCAGAAAGCCAGGCCCAGGATGAGAGCCATCCTAGGTTCAGGGTTTATAGGGTTTGTTAAAGGGATTATATAGGGATTTTATAGGATTTATAGGGATTATATAGCGGTTATATAGGGGTGTAGGGTATAGGGGGTTTAGGGTTTTTTGCGCTCCTTTTGATCCTCCGCAGGAACAAAGGCGGTTTAGGGGTTTAGGGTTTAGGGTTTGCCATAATCTCAACTCCTTAAATGGGGTGGTTATATCAGGATTATATAGGGTTTATTCAGGGCCTTGGGTTTAGGGTTTAGGGCTTAGGGTGGGTTGCTGTTAAAGAAACTTAGATCAGGAGTGCCAAAGCCTAAGAGTTTGAGGTCTCGGCACGCGCTTCGCACTGGGTTAAGGTTTATGGCTTCATTTTTGCTTCATCGCGCCTTTTTCTTCAGAGTCGGCTTGCAGAAATGTCTGTGGTCACTGCATCCTAAAACGGGCGATTCATGCAGGTCCTAGCCTTGCGCAAAGGCATTCAAACAGCTGGTTGAATGGGGCGAACCATGAAGGTGCACCGTGTTCCAGAGCTTAGTTTAGGGACCATAATGGAGAATCAAGAGGAAAGAAACATGCAAAACAAAGTGGACCCCAGGGTCACATAGGGGTTAGGGAAGGTTTTAAGGAACTAAGTTACCATAATGTGGACAAATCTTTAATACGGAGGTTTCCTCGAAAAGTATCTTAATTCAAGTTCCTTAACAGCCACCCAGCATCAACAGCAGGCAGAACCCTCCCAAAGCCGCAGCCCAGTTTAGGATGGCAACAGCACCAAGGAAGACCAGGTAGATGACCTCATTTAGGGTTTGGGGTTTGGGGTTTGCGGTGTAGAGTTTAGGGTCCCAAACCCTGAACCCGGCCGCTGCCCTAACACCCCGGGATTGTATCGGGTTAGTATAAGGATTATATAGGTTTATGTCAGGGTTGTATTTTGGGGTATATGAATTTGAAGCGGGTGAGATCAGGATATATCAACATATAATGGTGAATCAATTGGATAGGGTTTTATCCGATAGGGATATGGAACCCAACAATGGGGAATCAAATGGAAAAGAAGATGAACAAGTACATGGAAACTGGGGCTTGATAGAGTTATATGGTGATTTCCATAAACTGGGGGGCAGGGGCTGAGCTCACATACCCTCCCAACACTACAACCCTTTTTAGAGGACCCTAATGCTTGGAAACTCAGGAAACCTGTGAATGTGACGCCGATACAAGAGCCACCCCTGCGCTGCCGTCATGTCATGGACATGCTAAGAAGTACTGCGTGCAAGAGATCATCCGGATTTGGTCTTCAATTTGCCCGACATCGCTACTCTGCATCACCAGTACTTGGCCGGGGCCTTACAGCAGCAACAGCACAAGATCCTTGACCCGCGCCCATGCAGTTCCTAAGCAGCCGACAGTGCTGAAGATCAGGGCATTCCGCACAAAGCGAAATGTTGAAGCATCCTCAGGGGATGAAATGTCTCACTCGGTGCACATGCAAGCCGAAGCGCGGTGAAGGCAACTCAAATCACGTTCGCGGGCGGTGGCTTCTGCTGTTCTTGAGCTGTTGGCTGAGTGGCCTTGGGGCTCCACTTGGCGTCGCGGAGGACCTGCATGTGGTAAGCAGGTGGCAAGAGCTGAGCTGGTAACTTCTGGCCATCTCTGCCCAAAACGCCTGCAATGCGAGGATTGCCATGTAAACCGCGGGGTAGAGGACCACAACGCACAGCAAGACCAGGGCAAAGTTGTCCACCTTCCAGTGTCCCAGCCCTCCCCTCTGTAAGTGCACCAAACCCAAGCCCCAAAACTATAAACCTTAGGTGGACCCCCCGCCCAGTAATAGTGATAATACGGGATAATAGGGATTATATTCTTATTGTACCACTATTACAGGGTGGGGGGTCCTCCTAACATAAAGCCCAAAACCCCACACCAAGACATAGGTCTGCTCCCCTAGGCTCCACTTCCTACAAGAATAGAGAATCCAAGGGAAGTGAAATGGAACTAGGGGTGAGCCACGAATGAAGGAATGCGTCGTTATAGTAGTCTCTATAACCCCCAATAATGCGCTGTTCACTACATGCAACCATATAATCCCAGTTTCCATTTCATTTTCCAGGCTCTTTTCCATTTGATCCTCCATTATTCGGGTAATAACTCCTATACAGCACCTATGGTTTCCATGTTCTTTTCGATTATCCCAATCTGACGCCTATATTATACCCCTATATTATCCCCAGTCCCTGTCGTTGCCATTTTCTCTTCCATTGCCCTGTAAACCTCCAAATCCTACATGACCTTACACCCCTAAAGCTGAACCCTAAACACTAAACTCCTAAACCGCAAACCCTACCCCCTGAACCCTACACCCTTAACCCTGAACCCTTAACCCTTAACCCTACCCTTATATAGCCTCCCAAAACCCTACATAACCTGGCCTGCATGGCGCGGTCAAAGTACCAAACGCCACCGGCCCAGGCCAGAAGAATGAGCACCTTTAAGATTTAGTCAGCTAGGCAGGACATGCTTCTCAAGACTGAAAGAAAGAAAGGTTATATAGGGGTAATATAGGGGTCATGTTGGGATAATGGAAAATAAGATGGAAACTACTACTTAGGGTTTAGGGGTTTTGAGTTTAGGGGCTTGGGGATTTGAATGGGTGTGACAAAGTTGGGTAAGGAATTGAGAAAGCTAAGCAGGTGGCTATGCGAAAATCAAGCAGGGATTTGAGCAAATTTGGGCATGGAGTGCCCAATTAATTTTGTCAAATCAAATTTGCCCAAACCTCTTCTTCATTTGCTTACAGCCAGCGGCAGGGAATACGTGTCCAGCTTTGTCGAATCCCTGCCCAAGTATCCTCAAATCCCTTGCAGGCCCTCAGCACTTTCTCAAACACTTACTCAATTTTGTCAATTCCTGTGCATCCATACCAAAATGCATACTCTTCGGACAAGGCCACCATATGAATTCTTATGCGGGGGGAGCGAATGCCTACTGTGCATGACAAAACCATCATATGCTGTGCATGGACAAGCTTGTCCTCCTCCCCAGAGAGCTTCTTCGACACAGGTTGGAGCTTCGTCTGTCTGGCAATGGTTTGCCCCCCAAACCCTAAACCCGGAACCCTAAACCCTGGACCCTAAACCCTGAATTTTGAACCCTAAACCCTGAACTCTGAACCCTAAACCCTGAACCACGATACCTGCATACAGCACAGCCAAGCAGCAATGAAGCCCCAGAAGAGGGGCTGCTCTGGGTACAACTGAAAAGTGCCAAACCACATCCTGGCACGATGAGCTGCGCAAGGGTTTAGGGTTTAAGATTTGGGGTTTGACCTTCAGGGAACTATAATGTTAAGGGAACTATAATGTTAAGGGAACTATATGTTGAGGGAAGTATAATGCTAAGGGAACTGTAATGTTATGTCCGAGGACCCCCTCTTCAGTGACAAGCCGCTGGTTGCTCATGAAGGTCAGCGCCAGCACGAGGACTCCGGCGCTGATGCTCCATCCAACCCAACGGAAGCGAACTTCCGAAACCAGGTGCAGCACAACACCCTGAGACTAAAGTGTCACTTCAGCAAACATGCAGACCACATGAACTATAGTCTACACTCCTAGTATCCCTCGAATGACCCCTATTTCTCCACTATATGATGGGAGTTTAGACTTTAGCTCACATGAATGGAAGCAGTAGCTTACTGAGGTCAGGTCGTACGCGATGTCCAGGATGAGGGTCACTAGCCAGATGCGCACCGTCCAAGGCACCCTGCTAATGCAGCTAGGCTTTTCCTGCAAACCGGAGGGAGGGGATAGGAAGTGCTGTTACCCTTGTCTCAGTGTTGGGAAGAAAGTGGCACACTTTCCACAACGCTGATGTTGAAAGCCGGGCCATTTGTCAACCTCCCCTGATATGTGTGCTATGCCTATGGGCACTGAGCGGCACTGCCCAAAGGCCCCGGAAGTTATCTCCGCTCTGAAGATGAAAGACATCTCAAAGCTATATAGACTCCAAATATGAGCTACAGTCCATTAATCACCCCTATAACTCCCCGTATAAAACCCCCTATATAACCCCCTTTACGGAGTTTAGACTATAGCTCACATGCGCTGGTCCTCGCCAGAGCTGGAGGAAGAGCCGGCCGGTCCACTGGCTCCAGCTGCAGGGTCGGCTGGGTCAGCAGGATCAGCGGGGTCATCTGCACCAGCGGGGTCACCAGCTGGACCTGTGCAGCCCATAGGGCATGGAAGCTCTCCAGCATGAAGCTTCCGTGCAGAATGTTGCCTACACCCTCTGAAGCCTGGCAGGTGCCCTTAGCCAAAACCCACATAAAGCCATATATTGTAGCCTCCATTTTGAAAATCTGATGGGCCTGCAGTACCAGCAGAGCTGGTGGGTTCTGGCGCAATCTTGGCTGTTGAGCCGGGAGGCCTGGCAGCTCTCTCCGCAACGTCACAAGGCGGCATAGCCACGTCTACATATGGAAGTACAATAGTTCTGATGCTGGCGGTTCTGAAGAAGGGCGACTGGGCTCAGAACATGAACCATTTATAGTAGCTCAGTCTAAAAACCACATCATAGTACCAGTGGCAGTAGCGGTATAATTACTGCTATATTTAGCAGCAGCAGCAGCAGCAGCAGCAGCAGCACTAGCAGCACTAGCAGCACTAGCAGCAGCACTCGCAGCAGCACTAGCTAGCAGCAGCAGCAGCGGCGGCGGTGGTGGCAGTCGTTGCAGTAGTAGCACTAGTAGCCTTAAAAACAGTGTTCACTGTAGTAAAAGTAGTAGCCTAGCAGTAGCAGCACTAGCAAGCGGTTGGCAGTCACCTTTCGGTTTTTTGGAGATGGTGGTCTTCTTCTTCTTGATCGTGACGGTGGTAGGGGTGGAGATTGCGGCAGTGGTGGCGGCGGTGGTGTGGGCAGTGTCAGCAGCGGCGGCAGGCTACGTGACAATCGGTGCATCCACTCACTACGTTTGCTTGTTCATGGGGGTCCCAGGCGCCTTGGAGTCAAGTGGAAATCGTCCACCACCCAGCGATGATGCGCGGAGAAGAACAAGCCCAGAATCAACGGCAGAAAGCTGACGTGAACCAGTACCTCATCTCCAAATCCCAGAATTTTCAGAAGCTGTGGATCATGCAACTGCAACTGGATGACGGCCCAGCTGTCGGCGACCCAGGATGTGTACGCGGCAACGCCCACCCAGCAAAGGTATGGTAGCACCTGCCAGCAGTTGCGACTTCTAGCAGATCAATCTCCCGTAGAAGGGCCATTTAGCCGTGAAACGAGGCCCAGGGGAGCAGTCTCCAGCAGCGGGCCCTTCTTGCCAAAAGCCTGGCTGACAAGGAGAGCTGTGTGAATTATTGCGAGCTCTGAGACCCAACCTCGCCTTTATCTTTGACCGCCGCAGGCCGTACAGCGAGACTGCATACACAAAAGCAGCACCCAAGGCCACGCCTCCGAGATGCAGTGCTAAGATATGCTAACTCACTTGCAAGGTGGGTTCAGTGGTTATCTTGACGAGGAGGCACCTGCGTAGTACTGCTGCGGGCGCGGTTCGCATGTGTTGCACCAAGAGATCGAAGGTGGTTCAAAGCGAAGGGTCACCAAGGCAATTTCGCCAGCGAAGAGAAACATGAGGCCCACGAGCACCGCCCTAGGTCTGTTTCTTGCCAGGTAAGGCATATTAGGAAGTGCTAGTGTAATCTATATAGTTGTTACTATTAGGGACCATAGGATAAACCGTAACTTGGGTTTGCTCTACCTATGTTTATGTCTCTTCATATGATGCCACTGTGCGGGGCAAGGGCCCGGGGTGTTGCGGGTCTGTTCTGGACAGCTTCACTCGGGATGAGATTCCCCCTTACCTTTGGTTAGCTAGGAGAATGAAGGAATGCATAAATATACCTATATATAGTCCCCCTTAAGTAGATAGAATAATAAGATCCCCATTAAAATACCACATATTATATCTACTAAAGGGGGACTATATTTTCTTTTCCATTCCTTCGTGCCCAGCTAACCAAAGGTAAGATTCCTGCTCTGCCAAGCAGCGGGGGCAGCCACCTCTTCCACGTTTTGACAACTTGGGTACCGGCGGCCTCGAGTCTCACCTTAGGCTGCTGGACACAGGCAGCATTGAAAGACTGAGATATATACTGATGCTCTTGTACTGTAGCATTTCTGAAGCTTCGCAGTCTAACTAAACGCTCATCCATGACACCGGGATGGCATGGTCGCCAGATCCAGATCCTACAAAAAAGATTGCGCTGAGCCACATTCCCAACATTGGCTTGCTCTTGCTCTTGCACAGAGCGTCTTGCAAGAGTTGAAACGACTATCGGCCAAGTAGACGAACATGGCACCCGTCCTCCAGAGATCCTTGACTGCAATGTCTCCAACATGTCCGCTGCTGCACGCTGCCGTCGAACCTCACAGGTAGATCCGAAATCTCGCCAGCTACGTGTGTCTGCCACTTCTGGCTTCTGCAATTCCGAGCACAACTGCGCAGGCATCCTTGTTTCTTTTGTGGGTTAGGTGGCTCTTCAGAAGCAACCAGGTTGTAAGCCTAGCATAAACATCAGGCCAACAACTGCGCCACCAACACAGTTAGCTTGTCACCGTAACACTTACTAGTGCATGAGGGAGAGTGGGGGAGCGGATCCTTATAGTGGTCCCTAAATAACACCCAGAATATATATCCCCATAATAATCCCCATATTCACTCCTCCACTCCCCCTTGTGCAACCCTTCATTAAGGTTTAATAAGGGCTACCTAAACCTAAAGGGTATTAAAATTGAGGGTAGTAGGGGGAACCCATGATATAATCCCTATGCATACCCTAAACCCTAAACCCTATATAACCCCATATACCCTATTGTATGATGTTAGTTTCCATTTTCTTTTCCGTTCTTCCTGGCAGATCAAGGCAAAGTCGGTAGGCCTTCGGGCTGTCCGGCGCAGGGAGCATGGCATTCCTGGGTTGCTGTTAAGGAACTTAAATTAAGTTACCATCCTAAGGGTGTTTTAGGAGTTTAGGTTTTAGGGTTGGATTGCTGTTAAGGAACTTACATTAAATAGCAACCCAGATTCACCACCATGTGCGCCAGAAGAGCGACCATGGCCAAGAACACGCCTGAATGACCTCCAGCTCCCGAGCTCTAAGACTCTAAGATTTGGGCTTAGACAGCTTGTTGCAGGCTCTGCTGGCTTTGTGCAATCCGGGTGGTGCAAACGAGCTGCCCAGCAGCCAGTAGTCCTCCCCCCACACGCACGCAGCCACGCGTGCTCCCACCATGAGAAGCGCTGTCTGGGCGGCACCGGTTACAAGGCCCAGGGCCCATACCATCCACACCTGAGCTGGTGGAGCCATTCTGTACAAAAGCTAAAAGCTTGGTTGGGATATCCCAGCAGAGGAACAATCGCATCAAGAATGACCACCGCAACGACAAGCACGAAACCCACGTTGCGAACGGGCACGTCTGGTGTCAACACTCGCACCGCAAGACCTGCCCGAACAGCTCGGATGCGGGAGCAAGGAATTCAATGGCTTTCTGAGGGTCCCGCCATAAGCAGCAAGCACCCCCAGTTCCAGGACAATCAGAGTGGCAATCAACGCGATCCGCTTTCCTTTGCTTCGAGGCAATGCCGACCTGGAGCCAGAAGACTCGAATAGGAGAGGCCCCCCCAAAATAGAGGTTGAAGGCCATATAAGCAGGGGTTGTACGGAGTACATAGTGACATGGGGGAAACAGGGGCTACATAAGGGGAACTCGGGTTGTTGAGAGTGGCAACTACCTTTTACTTAGGGTTTAGAGTGTATGCTAGCAACAAAACCCCCCACACCACTACCAGGGGCTGTCAGCAGCTCTCTGCTAGACAGCGGCCGCTAGCAATGTGAAGCTAGCCACAAGGTGCTGCACCACAATAGATTCCACAAAATGTGGGACATGAAGCGTGAGCAACCGCAGTCTGTAGTCACTTTAAGCTCTTGCTTCTACACGCCTGAAAGCATAGCCTCTTGCGCCCACAGCTGCCATCTTAACATCCATGCGCATGGAAAAAAGGTTGGGCTCCTGTACACAAAAAAACCTTTTGATTCAAAATCCCCACCATAACCAATGCCGTAGTTTCCAGGTTCTTTTCCATTATCCCTATTTACCCCTAACTTAACCCTACTTTGAGTCCCTATATCTCGTCCGAGTGGCGCAGGCCCCGGCTCTGCCTGAAGACTTGGGGACTCATATTAGGGCTATGTTAGGGGTAAAGGTAGCATTATAGGGATTAAATAAGGGGAATACTAGGGGTTTAGACCATAGCTAGGTTATCTTAGGGGTATATAGGGAGAATGGAAACGAAATTGGACACTACTACATTACAACAGGGGTATATGTATTGGGGTTATAGTAGGGAATAAGGGAATATGCAGGAATTTTTTTGGGATTATAAGCGTATCTCGCGTATGATGGAGAACCCAAGAGAGAAAAAACATTGATTGTTGACACTTCTTCAACCGTTTCACGTGAGCTTACATAGTTTGACGACGACGAGGTGCGCCGCCGGCGCAGAGAAGTTGGCCAGTCACACGTGAGCTATAGTCTAAAATCCTAGTATTCCCTCAGTAACCCCTATACTACTCCCCTATATATCCCCCCTTTACGGAGTTTAGACTATGCCTCATGCAAGGTTGGGCAAGCAAATGGAAAATGCATGAGTGGGTACAACGAAGGATTTACAACCAAAAAACGAAAGAGGACAGTCCACACAGCATCAGCGAAACATCGGCCTGATCGCCAGAAAGCACGGCAAGCATGGATCCGCTGCCCTGCCAGCCTGGGTTGCCGTTAAGGAACTTAATCTAAGCTAATATAGTTGGGAAACCATATCTTTGCTGCTGGACTTGTTCAGGCGCCAGCTCTCGGGCCTAAGCATCCCGATCATGAGCACTACTGGCTCATTCTCCATATCTGCCGAAGCCAACTCTCTGGAATTGGTTTCCGCATATTAAGTACGTTGTATACCCATTATGGCAACGTAAACCCTTTTTGCAACAGGCTTTCTGAGTCCGCCTGGAAGGATGTCATCGGCACACTCCCAGCACTTTCGACCGAGACAGGCCAACACCCCTGAACTGAGAGAATGAAGGCAACGTAAACCCTAAACCCTAAACCCTATATACCCCATATACCCATTATGGTAACCCCAAACCCCAAACCCTATATACCCAGTGTGGCAGCTTAATTTAGGCTCCTTAACAGCAACCGAGCAGCTGCCGCACAGGAACGCCAGTAGGATGCTGGGCACTGCGCTGACGCAGAGCATGACCACCTGAGTTACAAACCATGCCATTTGTTTTTTCGTTCTTTTTTTTGGTGAGTGGACCTTTTCTCCAAGGGCGGAAGCTCAGCCAATGCTTAAGCGTGGTTTGCCACTAGCTACGCCCCGCTCAGTAGTGGTAGCTGCAGAATCCGTGGGTTCAGTCAATGCCAAGTGGTTTAGAGTTTAGGGTTTAAGGCTTAGGGAATAGGTTCATGCCAAGGTGGCTTGCAAATGCAGGGGGCTCCAAGGTAGGCCCCGAATAGTTCATCCTTTCCCCCTAATATTAAAGCCCCCCACCCCCCCAATACAGAAGACTCCCCAGTGTGGTATATCACAATAATGTATTGGGAGTATCTTATGTTAGGGGGAGGGTGGTTAATATTAGGGAGAGGTTCATAATCGGTACCCCACCCAGACCCTGGATTTCTGGAACCCCGCCATCCAGGAAAAAATGTAACCCTAAACCCTAAATCCTACACCCTAAGCCCTAAGTCCTAAACCCTAAACCCTAAATCCTACACCCTAAGCCCTAAATCCTAAGCCTAAGCCCTAAATCCTAAGCCTAAGCCCTAAACCCTAAACCCTAAACCCTAAACCCTAAGCCAAGCAGCTGAGACCGAAGTGAAGCTGAAGGGATCCATCCACCACACGAACTGGCAGAAGTAGCAGCCCAGGCAAAACAGAGCCAGCCTTAAGAGTCAGATTTAAGGCTTAGGATGTAGGGTACAGGATTTTGGGTTTTGGGCTTAGGATTTAGGGCTTAGCGCGTAGGATTTAGGGTTTAGGGTTTAGGACTTAGGGCTTAGGGTGTGGGATTTAGGGTTTAGGATTCAATGTTTTTTTTCAGAAGCACCTCTTTCCGTCTCGCAGAAATGCGCATACAAAATCCTCAGGGTTCAGGGTGTAGGGTTTAGGGAGATCTTCGAACTATTGAATGGTTGCCCAGCGCCTGCCAAGTGCGAACTGGAAAGTAGGACCCCTATATAACTCCCTATATAATCTCTTGTGTAATAATCCCCTATATAGCCTCCTATACAATCCTCTATATAATGACCCCTGAGATCTTCCTTTCAGTTTTCTTGTTTTGGTTTTGGACCTTTTCTCCTCAGGTCCTGCCCTCGGAAATGTCTACGGCACAGTCCAGTCCCCTCGGAGGATTCTTTGCACCAGCCAGCAGATAATCAGGGTGGGTTTAGCGTTGAGGGCCTAAACCCTAAACCCTAAACCTTAAACCCTAAACCTTAAACCCTAAACCTTAAACCCTAAACCCTAAACCCTAAACCCTAAATCCGAAACCGCTTGGGACAGTGCAGTCAAGGATCAGTGAGAAAAGGAAAGCCATCCAGCTGAAGTGGAATGAGTCGGTAGCGGCCCTCGCTAGACCCAAACTGCCAAAGTAGATCGTCACCGCCTGATTTCCACGGCCGTGCAAGACTTTCTGAAGCTGGTCTTACTGGTTCTTAGTAGGGAATAATCCTATAGGGATTCTACTCCCTTATTCCCAACTAACCCCTGGTAAGCCTAGTACTGCGCTTGGCTTGTTGGCAGTTGTCCCTCTACATGGCCCAAGGCAACGGCAGGGCAAGTCCTGGCACTAGTATTGAGATTACATGGCAATGGGGAGAACTCATGGATAAGAAAATGGAAGCTACTACATTGTAGTAGGATGTGTATATACATGTAAATAGCGTTATAGTCCAGGAGTCACAATTGGAAAAGCCACTTAAACGCATTCAGGGTTGCTTTTTGCACATGGTGCCCGCTTTTCGTCAAAGTCTTCACTCTAAACCCTTTTTCCATCTGGGTTTGTGCGCTCGCCAGAGCAAGCAGAGCCATCTCGGATACTCAGCTCCCATGACTGAGTGCCCAAGCACTCTAAACCCTAAAACCCTAAACCCTAAGCCCTACACCCTAAGCCCTAAACCCTGAGCCTTAAACCCGAAGCCCTAAACCCGAAGGCCTGAACCCTAAGCCCTAAACCCGAAGCCCTAAACCCTGAAGCCCCCTGGCTACTGCTCTTCACTCCGCCCTGGTATGGTCGAGCATACACCGAGCAACGTGTTCAAGATCTCTTGCTTTCTGCCTATCCACCGTTTCACCTTATTGGGTCTGCCCCACCTGGTGACAGTCTAAATTAGGGGTCATATTAAAGGGGTATATCTTTTTAGATTATGCGTATTATCCAACTGTTACAGAGGGGGGTCAGTACCCAAATTTGATAGCCCAAGCAGCCACCAAGCTACCCAACGATGCCAGGCGCCAAGAGTCGCTGCCCTCGCTGCTCACCTCCGCATTGCATGCACAAAGTTATATTCTTTAAATTCTTCCGTCACCTGCTCGGCCCAGCAGTAGATTCTCTCCCTCCCCCTCCACCTTTTCATCCTTCTCATCCTCCTCCTCCTCCCTCTCCTCTCCTTCCCTGCGTTCATTACGGAAGCCTTCCCTCCCCGTTGCTGTAGAGAGGCGACTAACGTAGTTCTGACTAGCAACCATGGCGAATCTGAACTGCCGCGACGCTGACAAGCTGTAAGCAACAAACTATGGGGAGGCACTTGTCGAGCGCAGGGTAGGCCCGCAGGTCCCTTTCATCCAAGTTCAACACAGAAAACTTAAGCAACACAGCTCCTCGCATGCCCTGGATTTCAGGTAATGAAGACAGCGACGGATCAGCAAGGAGTCCCACACTCCATGCTACGGCTCTAGCGTCTTCATGATCTCATGACCTTTGGGATTGGATGAAGCATCTTGACGTGCACGAAACACGTGGCAGGCTGGTGCGTGCAAGAAGAAACTCGGGTCGCGAGGTAGCTGCATGTCAAATCAGTCCCAAGACCCCAAGCATGGGCTTCAAGCGGGATGCCTGCTGAGCTGCGAGGGCAACACAAGCCACAGGAAAGAAGAGGCAGGCAATCATCATCCACCTCAGGAGGTTGTTTTGCAAGACTCTCCATGTTATACACAAATCAAGCTTTGAGGGGACCTGCCCAAGAAGGTGAATGCAGCATCTCCCAAACGCTAAACCCTATAGTAGTTTGCACTTTCTTTGCCATTATCCCCATATAATCCCTATATGATACCCCTACTTACCCCCAACCTCTGCAAAATGCTGGACCAAGCTACTGAAGGAGAGGTGCCACTCGGGAGAAGGTGACCTCGGCTTATGGAGGAGACCCTGCTGGTCACACAAGACCCTTTAGGGTTTAGGGTTCAGGGTTTAGGGTTTAGGGTTTAGGGTTCAGGGTTTAGGGTTTAGGGTTTAGTCTAAACTCCTATTATCCCCCTTAATAACCCCTATACTAGTCCCCTATAACCCCCTTTAAGGAGTTTAGACTACAGTTGGGGATATTTGATTGGGGAGTTATATTGGGGATATATTGTGGTTGCCTTGGGGTTATGTTGGGGATGTATTGGGATGTG